CCGCCGGTTGGGGACGAGGGGCTGGTAGTGGTGGGGCCCACCGGGGGTTTCCTTGAGGGATGACGTGGCGAGTGCGTTGCTGATCTTGACTTGCTCCGAGAAGAGGACCTGAACAACCACGCGCAGCGGGAGCCGCTCGTTTTGGGCTGCGTGCATGCACGCGTCCATCGACAGCTTCTGGCAGTCCATCACTCGGCACAGGCGTTTGCGCTCGTGCTCGGTTAGAGTCGGGTGTGCCTGATGTGTATATATATAAATACCTTTGATATTTGAAAACATTAAAGAAATCGAGACTTATTACCTTAAGGTAGGAATCCACGGCCCTATACAGCCCGTCATCACAGGTCCTAGCGGACTCCGGCAGGGCTTCGGCCAGCACCTGAAATTTCGTGAGCGAAAGATTCCTATCTCTCGATACCTCCGTCAGATAGCTGTCCACCAGCCTCGCCACCCTGGCCTTGGCGTTCGGGTTTCCCACCACTGCTCTGTGGGCCCCATCGTACAGCTTGGAGGCCTCCGATAACGACTGCTGCTGGCCGGGGCTCGAATCCTCCGACTGCTCCTGCACCAGGAAGTGCTCCAGCAGCCGCTGCACGAGGTCCACGTCATACATGGTCTCGGCCTTGCCGTAAGTGGGTATGAGGAGGTCGGCAAGGACCGCCTGCTCGAACTGCATTCCTACACGTTTTTCGAGCTCTGTGACGAGGGCAGGTGCCACCTTTAGCATGTTGGCCGTCCTCAGCAGTCGGAGGAGGAAGCTGCACGACACGCTGTCCTTCTGTGGGGGGATTATGCTTATTAGGCTCTCCACTATCATCCTCTGGTCCTTGGCCTGCACGAATGTGCATAGATTTTGAATAAAACGAACTGAATCGAATCGAATGTGAGCACACTGTGGATTCAAATTCATCAGCTTGTATATATGAGCATACTCTAAGGTAACAAAACTACTGTCTTTTTAGAACACTTTCAAGAAAATTTGATCGATGTTTATGGGATGGAATAAGTACGAATAATCCTATACCAACAAGATTCAGGAATTGAATATTCGAACGTTATTCAGATCGAACATCTCAGTTTCTTCATCTTCGTATTCGTCAATAAATTCGAATCACAATAAGCATCCCCATTCAAATTCGATTTCCTTTACAATCTAAAACCAAAAAGTTGCTCTTGCTTGTGAACTAACCTGCACGGAGCCTGCAGCCGGCACACCTTCCTCCTTAATCCCCGACACAATCATATGCAGCCCTCCTTTCCACCCCGCCCTGCCGCTACTGCCGCCACTACTCCCACCATCATCCGCCTGCACTCCCGCCGCCATCTGTCCCGGGAGCCACTTCCCGGCATAATACGTAATAGCAGCCCCAATAAGATCGTGCCGCATGCCCTTCACCTTGATAGCCGTCACCACCCGCACAAAATGATCGATCCGAAGAATCGACACATCCTCGAACCACCAGTCGGGTGGGACAACAGGTGCCCGGCCCGGGCTAACCGATTCCTTAGCCTCATTCCATCTCGGGCTCGACGAGGCCTGGCCTGTATACTGCCACCGAATCCCTTTCGGATTCGCACACGCCTTCCAAGCAATGGACTCACTGCACCTGCGCACGATCTGGAGATTCTCTGCCCACGGGGAAAGAGGCTCGCAGCTCTTGAGCACGACGATCGAGTCTCGCCAAGAGGACAGCACAACGTAGCTAAGG